CAAAAATAACTAGCTCTCTCTATGGCCATATGTCACGAGACTTTTGCAAGCAGACCCCTAAAGTCACAGCATGCTCTCCTGAACTCTGGGGCTGAGGTCCTCCTATTTACCCAGCTCCCTCCTCTCAGGATTCTGAATTCAACCATCCTACAGTCATTGGAGGAAAGGCTGCCCCCGACCTTCACATCTTACCTGTCTCTACGTATGAATTACTGCAGGACTGCCTTCCCTTGTCAGCTCCTTGATCACCTGGGTCAGGAATTTGTCATCAGTGTATACCAGAAGCCTCCTAGCTGCTTGCACCTTGCAGATTTGTCCCTCCAGCAGACTAAAATCCCTCCAGAGGTTAAAGTCTCTCATGAGGACCAAGGCATATGAATACATAGAACCTTCCCATTATGAGGGAGTCCTCATATTTTTCCTGATCAAGTGGCTCTTAGAAGACAGCCACAACAGCTTTTCCCACACTGGTCTGGTCTGGCTGCTAACCCTGATTCATACTCCCCTAGGTGGTTCTACAGCAAAGCTCTGTTGCATTCTCACTGCTCTCCCACATGAAGGGCAACCTCCCGCCTTGCTGTCCAGCTGGTTCTTCCTGAAGAGCCTGTACTCATCCACCACAGCACTGCAGTCCTGTGAGCTGTCCTACCACCTACACATGATCCCAACTTGATCCTAGCCCTGCAACGGAGTGCAGACCTCCAATTCCTCCCATTTGTTCCCATATTGAGTGCTAATGTACAGGCATTCTAGAGAGTCACTCAGTCGTGACGGTCATCCAGAAAAATCAATGAAACCTTCCCCTGCAAAGCCTATGGAAATGCAACTAAACCAAAGGCAAACAAGGAGCACTATTTGATCGATCTGAATTCCAGCTCCATCATGTGGCCTTCTATTAACAAGCTTTAAGATCAACAAGAAGCACTAGAAAGCATGTGACCTGCAAAATTATGTAAATGTTACGCAGTTCTGCTTTGGCATCATAAGCACACTGTTCTGTATTCGGCTGCAGGCCCTGTGATGACTGTGAGGGCAGTCAGGAAAAGACTTCCCTTCTCACACCAGCCTCAAACCAAGACTCTTTTGCAATAGTGATCCCCAAAGCAAATCTGGGCTTATGCACTCTACAACAGTGTAACTGGACAGAGCAATCCCTACCTAAGCCTGCTTGCTTATCAGAATCTTAATTGGCAAAAAATAATGTGTTAAAAAAATCTGATAATAAACTTAATTTATAATATATTGATTCCTAGTTTGCCCTTCCCTCAGGATGTCTTTAGAAAGTAAGCCCACGTCTCAGCTGCTTCAGTCAAGTGCTTACCATGCTCCTGAAACCAGGTTTCATTGAAATGCAACATCTGTTTTTGATGACAACCACACCGAGTCGTGTGCAGTTAAAACATTTTCATCTTTCCACTGTAGTCAACTAAGAGAAGTCAATTAGTAGATCGATCTAGCTTCTGCAATTTAAGTTAAAAATGCAAGAAATCTAAAAAAACTAGAGAAAAGGGTATAAAATCTATTAGGTCTAAGACACTGAAGAAACTAATCTAAAACATTCAAATTCCTGTCTACACATATTCCTGTCTACTTCCTCTCCTTTAAAAGTGAAACATACTCTGGTAGTGCACTTCCCCATATCACATCAGCCTCAACTTTCAGCATTTTCCAAAAGTAAAATGACAATTAAAAAATATATATATATGATGGCTTTAAAAAGAGTAGATACCTTAACCAATGACAGAGCGTTAAATGTCAAATTCAGATCACTTAACAGAGGTGCAAGTATGACCAGTGAAGCATCAGTTCAGCACAAAGACACATTTATCATCACGTTTTAATGGCTACCAGAGACAAATAACTTATTAAAAATTATATATTAATATTAATTTTGCATTTCAATCTTTAATAGCTTCCAAGTTGCTGATTTAAGAACAGTATACAATAAAATTGGTTCTTTCTTGTGTTGGACAAAAGATACACCTATTAAAAAATAAAAGCTGAAGTCAAATGAAGATAAGAAAATGGCTGCCAAAGTAAGGAAGCTGCTGAATGGATCCAGTGAGGCAAGACAAAGATCAACTCTAAAAGGAAAAGAACACTCACATTAACATTATTTTTGTTTTATAACCCAATAATTTTCTACACTATTAGGGAAAAAAGTAAGATTGCACATTCAGAAATTTTGTCAAAGCAAGAATAAGCACTTGCTCTCAAGAGTCACATTACCAGCATAAAACCCAAAGGAGAGATCTTGCTCTGTTAGGGGTGGAGCAGGGCATCTCAGACACTCCCCACGCCAGGGAAGGGTCCAGGGACAAACGCTATGACAGCACAGACCGCAGCTCTCAGCAGAAGATGCTGTGCAGGGACCCCGAGGACACACCCACACTGCTCAGAGTGTAGTCCCCACGCAGCGGCGCAGGGGAAAGCTCAGGGTTTGACAGCGCAGGCCATTTCCTGAGCCAGCAGCCACCCAGCCCCTTCCAAGCACAACCAGACTTCCCTGGCTGCTCGAGCGTGGGGCTGGGTAAGCGCTGCCATCACCTACCACACAGAGCTGGACGTCTGCCCTCGGACACAGCTGCCCCTCTGCCCCTCACTCCTTAGGCTGGGATGGGCTGTGAACAAGTGTGGGAAGCGGCATTTAGTTGGCTCAAGCAGCTGTTGTCGGCATCCTCCCAGAAAAAACAACAGACTGGAGAGAAGCCGATCAAACACCACCATTGGACTGCTCTGGCTTAAATGAAGTCAGGAATTCAGCGCTTGGCTCCATCTCGCTCAAACAAAACAGAGAGCAACAAACATGCCAGTGTGACAGCTTTTTTCTTGACATCCAGCAGTGAAAGCAACAAGAACATGTTAATCCATCGCAAACGGTATTGAGATTCAGCACATGGAAAACTACCCACGAATGGATTTTTAAGCTCGCCTTAGGGATCACTACATTGTCGGTCAGAGCCAGTCTATTGCTCTATTTTTATCAGTAGATAAAATGAAAATTGAAAAACAGTCAAACAACACACAAGTTGCAAAGTAACAAATGCTGAGCTAGCGACTTTAGACTTAGTATCAGATTTGTCACTTCTAATGACATTACTTTTACAAAACTTTAAAGATACAAATTTGACTCAATCTAGTAATATAACAATACTGATAAAAAATTACCTAAGAGAGCAACAGCCTTAAAGGAGGAACAAAAGTAAATTTTAGAAGAAACTTTTAAGTGACAGAGAAACCTATTTTGCCATTTCACAGGACATTTAAACTTGCACATAGTGGGAAAATGCAATTACGACATTGAAAATATTTTTTAGGTTTTTAAATGTCACTAATGCAGTTCCACATGCCAACTATTACACATTAATCTCGCCACTTTTTGGAAAAGATCATTATAAACTGGGTAGAGTTCTTCCTTATTAATAGCATGCTTATATAAACCAAAGTAAAACGAATCTTTCATCTATAACGCTGATCTTCAGCAAAGCAAAAGCACCAGGATCTGAGGCTGGAAAGTCCAGGACAAGCATCTTGAGCCTGAGGGGGACTTCCACCATCACAGACATACCAAGAGTCTGCTGTCAACAGATAAAGTCCTGCCCTTCCCCACAGCCACGACCCTCGCACACACAGCTGCCAAGCATCCACTGCACCAGCCAGCTCTGAGAAATGATTTTATTAAGCACTAATATAATGAGGCAGCAGGCTGAGCCAGATTTCAGAAGCTGTCCATACTGCTATGTCAGATGGGTATGACTGTGCAATTGCACACCCAAACATAAATTTAATCAAAGATGGCAACCAGCAGTGCTCTTCTGAGTTGCCAATGGAGCAACGACTGAATAAAAGCATAAAACCCAATGAAATAGTTTATTATTAATAATATTATTAGCTTTGCCTACATTTTTTCTGTCCTAGGGAGACTATTCTACAAAAACTTACTGCTAATAAGCTAATATGCATGAACAGAAACAGTCTAAACTGAAAAACTGTAAATAAAAGCAAATCCACTTGCTTCAAATGTTTTGAAGCAGAAAGGGAAGTATTTTATTTTATGGCAGTTTTTAAAAAATAAAAACATGGCACAAAATGACCCATAAAAATGCAGAAAATTGTTCTTCAGTTTTAAAAATTTCTGTATTCAAGGGTGCTGGATAACAGTGTGAGATATGAGCGTTCACAAGGCAAGGACAACTGGAGTTTTAGACATTACTTATTTCCTCTGCTATTCTGAAATTAATCTCAACCATTCAGAAGAATCATTTTGTATGATGAAAAAAATGTTTTAACAAGCTCTAGCTTTTGAAAGTACTTTCAAGAAAAGGTTTGGTAGAACATGAGATTTCACCTATGATTTAGCAGTCCCCTATACTCCCGGTACCTTCTGAAATACAAACAAAATATAAACAATTTCCAACAAAGTCATAAACTGGACAACTTTTATGAAAAAAATCACAAGTTTTTTCAGGATTCTGCTGTTATCTGTAGATGTACTTCTCTCCTACCCCCTGTAATTCAAGTGCTAGAGCTTATTATACACAGCAAGCATAGGTGGCCTTGGTAAATAAGTAAACAGCCAAATCAATTGATAAATGCACTGCAGATGATGTACAGTCTCAAATGCAGTCAATGCATAGTTTACTCAAAATGAAGGCAAGCTCTCCCCCTTTGGAGAGGTAACATACCGTTGTCCTGAGAGCTGGAGTGCCTGATAAGGCATTATTTGATAAATACTGGACACCATCCTTCAAATTTCAAAGGCATTAATAATCAGCAAAGAATGCTGAGTGCATCAAAGAAATCTCTTGGGATTTTAATGCCAAATTATGTCCAAATTTAGAGTCTTGATGAAGTCACTAGGGTCAAGAACAGGGTCTGTAAAATCTACTAAAAACAGAACACAGGTATTCTCTGAAAATTACTTCAGTTCTCCAACTGTTGTAGAAGGGATAAAGAACAAAGGCTAGTTTGTGCTTACTCCTGTTTCAGGACTCAGTTACCTCTAGAGAAGTAGAGCATGGAAGACTTAATGACTGTGTTGTAGAGTTTCTCAGAACAGGTCTGTATTTTTTTAAGTAGCATGATTAAAGCAGCTTGCGAAACGCAGTAATGACAGGCCTACAAAAATGCTCAGATTTAAGCTGTAACTTCACGAATTCCAAGCTGATATTTATGTTATGACGATAACATCATCGATGAAAACGATACTATCATTTCGGAGAGCAAGAACGTTTTCATTAATTCAACCGGCACAGGATAAAGTTGAAAACACCCTGTCAGCAAATTCATACCTAGTTTTCCTCACCGCACTGAACATTTCCCTAGTATGATAAGCGGATCTGAACACCCACCTTATCCATCTGTTAGTTCAAAAAAAAAAAAGGGCTCCTGGCAAGGAGGGCCCGCACGCCTTGCCGCACCCCGCCCGCAGGGGCCCGGCGAGCGGGCTCGGAGCGCGGCCGCCGCAGGGAGGGGCCGGCGGGGCCGGTGCGGAGCCGAGCAGCGCCCGAGACAAAGCGAGCGGAGCCCCGTCCTGCCGCCGCCCGGCGCCGCGGGCTCCGCTGCCTCCCGCCTTTGCCCGCTGCCCCCTCTCGCCTCAGCCCCGCCGCCTCAGCTCCGCGAACGGGAAAGGCGGTGCCCGGGCCCCGCTCCCACCGCCGCCACCGCCCGAGCACCCCCCATCCGCGACACAAACGACCCGCCTCGCCCCGGGCGCCCGCCGGCTGCCCCGGCCCCGCCGCTGCCGCTCACCTTCCAGCTCCTCCATGGCGCGCCCCGACCGCCGGCTCGGGCTGGGCTCGGTTTCCGAGCGCCGCTGCCGTGGCAACGCCGCCACCTCCCGGCCCGCCAACAACCGCCGCTCCCATTGGCCGGGCGGGCGGCGCCCACAGCCCCGGGCGGCCGCCGCTGCCCCGGGCCCCGCCCCGCCCGTCCGCGGCACCGCGCACCCCGCTCCGCCTCGCCGGGCCGCAAGGGTGTCGCCCGCCCTTAGGCTGGGTCTTCCCAAGGGAGCAGGCACCTGGGCTGGGCATCTCCCTGCAAAAACCAGGCGTGTTCTGACATTCTGATTCAGGTGCGTTCTGACGGGTCCCGAAGCCCGTACGCTGAGGTTATGCTGTGATCGGGGTCTCCTTCCAAGAGCGGCGCTTGTACATGAAACACAGGATCACAGAATCGTTAGGGTTGGAAGGGACCTCGGGGGATCATCCCATCCAAACCCCTGCCAAGACAGGATCACCTAGAGCAGGTGACACGGCAGCGAGTCCACGTGGATTTTGGATATCTCCACGACCCTCCCTGGACACGAAGACCAAAGCGAAGCACATAAGGAGAAATGACCGTGCAGTCGACAAAGCATCCATCATCTCTGGATGGGTACCAGGATGGTGCCAGGGACCCTCCGGCCTCAGCACCAGTAGCTGAACAGATGGGTGCTGATGCGTGGCCTCATTGGGTGTTCCCTTGCTTGTGGGAAAGCTGGGACAACTACAGGAAAAACACAGAAAAAAAATGTTTTCAGGTTCATGTCCTGAAAATAATTGCAGAAAATGGATTCCCCCACCCTTTCCCCCCCCGTTATTTTCTTAACTGAAAGAGATGCTAATATAAAATTAGCATCTTGATGGAATCTGCTGCTACAGAATAACTTTTGAGTATGTATGTTTTTGGAAAATAGTGCTACTAAATTGCCGTTGGCTAATGAATACAAATAATGCTTTATACATATGGAAATTTTTCTGTTCCTTTTTACAAATGGTCTCCACATTCAAAGCATTTCAATATTTTTCTTCAAGCCATTATTTTAGAATTACTTCTTAAGATCTTTTATTTGTCTTTCTTGCGGCAATATGCCATGAGCAACTAACAAAATCTTTCTAAATACAATAAATCTTATAGAAATTTGCATTCTTTGCAAATCTTAACCTTTACATTTTACATACAATCTTTACAAGCATCCTTTGCTGTCTTTACAGGCACATGCAAATAATTTCTCTTCTTATGCTAGACAAGTTGGTTGATACAGATTCACTTGTCCATAGAATCACAGTTACTGTCCTTATCACAGCACATCCATGAATGCAACACAAAGAAACATACATAAAAACTACACTAAATTGGAGATTATGGTCATGTTGTCATGTCTGCATCTCCTTAGCACAGAACAAATAGATCCAGATGCTGCATGCCAAACAGCCAGCATGTAAATCATGACTAATATATGATTAAAATCATCATTTGGGACCAAAACCTTGGGCATATATACCATATACATATATATAAAATAATGCATATAATATATATATAATATATATAATTCCAGCTACATTTTTTTCTAGTTAATTTAGTAAAAGTACATTTTTGAGTTGCCTTTAGAGTTATAAAATAGAGTTATAAAATAACAGGCCATGCCAGAAGAAACTAGTTTGCCACCAAATTGCAAAGTTCTAAACTTTGCAAGTGATCCTTTAAATCTTTGACACAGAACTTAAATAAGCCTATAGCTAGTAAGCATTTCCTGTTAAACTAGCCATTAGGATAGGGTACCAGAACTTTACTTCTTTCATGATTTTTCCATATGTGGATTGCAAATTCAAAACCAGACGAGAAAATGTTCTCAATTTAGTGAAGGGTTTCATATTAGAGATGCATTTTGTTTGGTTTGGTTTATTATTTCTGTTTGAAATTTTAGGTTATTTTTGTTAAAAACAGGGACATGTAATAGCTTCAGGTCAGCCACCTTTAGTGTCTACAATGTGGTGTTCACATCTGAGGTAATTGTCAACTTCCCCAGCACAGTCTATAGAGATTTGTCTCTGTAGTTGATATGGTCTTCGGGATCTACTTGGCCAAATGTATCATCTGTTCCAGCGTAAGAGACAAGTGCCTCAGAGTAGGATTCTGCTGCAAAACTAAAAGGTTGTTTTGACTCTTGTAGCTGGTGTCTGAACATGGGTTGTGCAATTATAAATGAGGACAGCATACTGTAAAAGACCCCTGATGCTGAAAAGCAGCTGTCTTTTAACTGTGGTGTCTGTGTGAGGAACAGGGGACTAGTCCTCTGTGATCACAGCCACTGTGCTACATGAATGCCTTCACAAATTTACCTTCATACTGAGAAAAACCCCAAGCCTGTGTTTTCTTCCTGCAGATCTACTGTGCCAAACTCAAGTCTTTGATGCAACTACATTCCTTTAACATTTAGGATTTTTTTTTCCAAACCATATGCTAAATTTATTAGTTGTTAGTTAGCATCGTGCATGCTTGTGCCAACATTTATTTCTGGCTTATGTATTTTATTGTTTGATTCCTTGATGCATTTATAGGGAATTAGCATCTGTTCAGTTTCAGTATTTGGCTTGGTAGCCTAAACAAAGCAGAGCTCTTCTGAACTGTCTTCAGAAGCTAAGCTTCCCATTTCCATAGCCACCATGGTATCCTTTATTTGGCCTATTCCATGTTAGTTCATATTTCATATGTGATCAGGATCTTAAACTGTCCCAGAGAGGTGATCTTACCACATCACTGAGATTCTTTGCCTCTGCTGGGAATATTTCAACTAATACATCTTAGGTTACATGTGCTATGCTGTGGTAAGCCTGTAGGCACCAGTATATATTTAGCTCCTCTTCCATATCAGTTGTTTTGCAGAGTCAGCAATGATGATAGAAATGTTTGCCTCTGAAAAGTAATGCAGTCTGAACACCTACTTACCTGAGTGTTCAGTCCTGTCTTTGAGAAGAACCAGGAAAACACAGCCCTAAATGCAAAAGCTATGTCTTCCTTACTCAAACTTGTTTCAAAGAATTGAAATACAAACACAGCCATGCCTACCCATGCCCAAACTCCAAAGAAGAGAGGTAAGAGTTGCTCTGAGGTATGCTCAGACATTAAGGAGGTGTGTAGAGAGGCCATCTAACATTAACACAGTTTCCAAAAAGACTCAGGTCTCTTTCTGCTGGCCAGTAAAGGGACAGTTTTTCATTTTTTGCTGGATAAAAAAAGGAGTTTGCCCACAGGGATAAGTTGAAAAAGTAAATTAGGAGTTTGTGATAAATTATAAAAACCCATTTTCTCTATGGTTTGTGGGCATAGAGAAAAGTTACAGGTTGGACTAAATCATTGATTGCATAAGCCAGCATTTTCAAAAGTGCTTAGAGACATGGACTTGTGGTCTAAGATTTGAAAGGGTCCTGAATTTCAAAACTTAGGGAAGCAGTGGCACCAAATCTTTGCCAGAATCTGTCAAGGCCCTTTGTAGAAGAACTGGAGGACTGTCCTCACAGCTCCCAGGTGTATTACTGAGATGTAAAGTTGTCTTTTTGCTTGCTTGTGAGTGGCAGATGTTTATGGCTGACACAGCCTGACTGGCATCAGTAAACTTGGCTCATTTCCTGTGTCTAAGCCCTGTTTGCCATGTAGCCACTCACGTGTGAGAGAGACCTGGGAACGTAAAGGATGTATTTGGTAAAATGCAACACAAAAGACTCTGACATCCAGAAATAATCACACATCCAACTGTCAATCCAGATAAAGAGGAGTTGCTGTGGGAAATGGGCTATGAATCTTGTAAGCAGTTTAGATAGGCCAGGAGGAGCTCTGGAATAAATGTGACATCCTGTATGTATCAATATAGAAAAATCCCTACCTTGTACTATTCCAAATCTTTAGTCACTTTAGAAAAAGACTCCAGGATCCAGAGTTTTGACAATACCTTGCCCTTGGTTTTTGTAAAGCAGTGCAAATCATTTGTTTGGGGCAGAAGTGTTAAAAAACTACTAAGTCCTGTAAAATGATCAGAATTTCATTAACATTTCAAATGCTCTTTTGCACCATTTGAATCCCTGTCACAATGACTAAAATCTTTATAAAAAATCAAAACCTTTCCACTATCTTTCATGTTAATAATGAGCACTGGATAAAGAAGGATCTCCCAAAGTGGTATTTTAATTAATACACTTTGCACTATAAGTAGCTTCTGGGAATTCAGATATGCTCACACAGGGGGACTTTAAAATTTAAATATTCCTAATAATCTTTTTCTTACAGTTAACTTTAATTGAGGACTACAGACAAGAATGATT